CCAAGCCCAAAGCTCTGAAGCAGTAGCTATGATTTCAAATTATTCTTTCAGGTTTTTGCTAGACTCATCAACAGTCCATGGGAGGCCTAAATATTGATCTGTGGTATTTTTTTTGTGTTAGTTGGGAGTATTTTATTATTTTGCATTGATAAAGTATTAATAATAGCATTTGCCTTTCTGGTGGCTTTATGTTTTGTAAAATACCTGATAGATTGCACTGTCACTGGAAAAAGCAAAATTTTCCTGGGTACGCAGGAGCCAGTCTGGTGCATGCAGTAAGAACCCTTCTTAATGTTTTTTTCTACTCGCTCACAGATTTGTGTTTCTTAACTGATGGGTCTGTAGTTGAGCTCTAGTTTCTGTGCTCTGATTTTTGTCGGTGGAGAGTGTTAATAAAACTATAGCCTGTTGTAAAACTTTCCTGTTTGAGGCGGTGAGGTGAATAGTTGAGAATACCAGGGTGGAAAGCATTGAAACAACTGTGGTTTGGTGTCATGGAAAGTATTAGATGCCTCAGATCAGACTACGAGCAGCACAGCATATGGTGCAGACTCTTAAGAAGTCCATGTCAGTTTAAATTTCTTCCAGAACGTTTGAAGAGGTAAGTTTGTCCCTCCAGACTTTGTCAGATCAAGTATCCTTCCTTTACTCTTCGTACTGTGCTTTGTCAGAATTCGCTGAAGCTGGGTTGTGAGCTCGTGTCTTGTCTGGAGGAAATTTGTATGCTGGGAGAACTGGTAGTGCTCTGGTCTGGTGTTAATGGTCTGCAGCTCACATCTCTTGTCAGGCTGTCTGCACCAGCTCAGGTGATGGTTTGTGTAATTAAAATCCTTGTAATTGCCTTTTCCCAGATTCCTCTGAACACAGAGGAGGAATGACTATTCTAGTTTTGCTTCTGTTGGTAAACTTTACTCCATTGAAAATCTGTTCTTTATCATGTCTGAACCTGTTTGGCCCCTCATGGAAATAAATAGGTGCTGCAAGTATCTTGGACCTATTTTCAGAAAATTATATTGCTGCTTGTTGTGGCAAATTCCTTTACGAAGATTTTTTCCCTGGTAATAGTCTTCATTAAAAACAGCACTTGAATTCCTGTGAGCCAGATTTGATGGGGAGTGTTTGTGGTCACTTTGACTTGGAGGTTTGTGTTGCTTCCTTGTAGAAATACTGAATTTTTTTACCTGTCATGTTGGACTGGTGACATGAGAAGTGGTGTTGGGCTTAAGTGTAGCCTTGTAGGTATGGCTCTTAAAGTCTTAAATTCTGTCGCAGGTGTTCACATGTTGTATTGATGCTTTTCCTGAAAAAATAGCTGGCTGAGTTTGGTGCTGGTGTTTTATTTCTGTCTCATTCATAGAATGTTGTACAGATTGCTAACTTCTGGTGGAAATAACTATGATCATGTGCGTTATAATTGTTAACTTTTCAGAATTGTTTCTGGTGGTGTTTAGTTACCTGAAACTGAGGGACCTGAGCTTCACTTTTGGCAGGCTGGGGGAGCGTCTCTGTCTGATTCGATCCTTTTGGTTATGGGTTTTTTTATTTATTGCTTGTTATTTAAAATTAAAAGTAACTCGGTGTCTGTGGTGTTGGTTGAGGAAGATAATGTAGTTCTGGAGAATTAACCGGCTATAAGTTTAATTAAATTTATTATGTATGAGGGGAGTTAACTATATGATAATACATTTGGCTGTTGTCATTCAGTGTCCCTGCTGACTGCATCTCTAGAACTGTAAGCTTTTTCTAACTTTATCTTTTTTCTTAAATGCTGTCACAGGAGCTAAAAAAGTAAGTACTCTCTAGTTGTCATGTGGTTTTTAAATTGTTTGGAAAATCAAGGAAATATAGGCACTGATCTGATACTTCTTACTAGACAGATTATTGCACAGTTTTCTGATTTCCACTGGAAATAAGTGTACCTTTACTAGTTTATTTATTAAATTAATCACTGTCTCACTTTGATTTAAGACAGTTCTTTGATTTGAGAGAACCTCCTGATAATTGGAGTCCTCAATAATGCCCCTCACCCTTGAGATGAGTGATGTGAGGGCTGCAACTCCAGTGCTTGAAGCTGTTTGGTTGAGGACTTGAGCAAAATCACCTACAATTAAAAAAATAATAATTAAACCCTAAATTTTAGTGACACAAATGGTCATGATTTCTATTTGAAATGTGAGTAGCTGTAATGCAAATTAAATACTTAAAGGTGTGACAGTCTAAGCTGTATTGTGTCATGTCCAGGTTTCTCGTTACACCCACTAAAGATTCTTCCTGAAATTGTTTTAAGTTGAAACCTCTGAGTATAACACCACTTGCGTTGGATTAATGAAATATAATCAATAAAGGATCTCCTTGAAGGCTATGGATTTATGACTTTTCCTTGGGATAACTCAAACGTGAATGTAGAGCAAAGCAGAGCATGTCAGGCAAATCATAGAATCACAGAATGGTTTGGGTTGGAAAGGACCTTAAAGATCATAGAGTTCCAACCCCCCTGCCGTGGGCAGGGACACCTCCCACTA